ATTAGATCTGTATTCTCTGGAGTTTAGATAAGTGAGACACAACCTCATTGAAACATACAAGATTCTTCAGAGGCTTTTCAGTTTAGGCACTGGCTCAGGCATCTAGAATACTGAGGCATAGCACCTGCACCTTCCTAACCTATAACCACTATCTTTCAGAAAGACAGGGGTAGCATTTACATGGGAACATTACTACCTATAGATTCTACTCCAAGCTGTTCACCATCCTGACTTGGAAATAAATTGTTGTTTCTTCGGTGTTGCTGGGTCAACATCCTGGAAACCTTCTCTAATAGCATAGTGGGTACACACTACACCAAATGGACAGCAGCAGTTCAAGAAGGCGGTTCATTATCATCTTCTCAAAGGCAACTAAGAATGGATAATGAATGCTGGTCCAGCCAATGATGCCCACATCCCCTGAATGAACAAAAAGAAAAGCCACAGGACAACAGGCCAATCATTTAGGACTGAGATGAGTACAAACTTCTTTATTCAGATGGCTGAGAATCTTTGGAATTCTGTTCACTGCACTAGTGTGGATCCCCCACAGTTGAGTATTAATCAGAAGTGGGATAGATAGAACCTTGGTCTCTCAGAGACAGAGGTCATCCATGATTCTAATGAATGGCAGAGCAAGTTCGAGTTCAAGAGGCCATATGTTTCTTCTTGCTAATATTGCTTATGTTTTGTGGTAAAAACCCATTGAATGTCAAGGTGAGGAGGTTCAATTCTCAATTACTGGAGATGGTCATTGTGTGAGATGACATGAATATTATTTCTCATTTGATCAGACCAAGCTTGAGTGTTCTCCAGGTTTTGCTGCGCATGTTCAAATGAACTGATCACTGTGCAATCATCAGTGATCAGCCCAAATCTAATCTTGCAATGGAGAGAAGGGCTTGATCGGCTGAAGATGTTTGGACCTATTGGCCTACAAATTCCTGAACCAACAATCTGAGTTTGGGATGATTGGTGTCCAACAGACATCACCAATGTCCTATGTGCTAGGTATAATTCCAGTCAGTGGAGCATTTGTTCCCATTCTTGAGTGATTTCAGTTTTGCCAGAGCTCCTGCGCACCACATTCAGTCAAATGCTGCCTTGATGTCAAGATCAATCATCCTCCTGTCACTCCTCAAGTTAACTTCTTTTGCCTGTTGGTTTCAACCGATGCCATAATGATGTATGAAGCCAAATGGACATGGTGAAACCCAAACTGATCATTAGTGAGAAGGTTATTAGTGGGTAAATGTCATTTGACAGTCCTGTCAATGGCACCTTCATCACTTGAAAGTAGACTTGTAGGGGAATAATTGACTGGGTTGGATTTGTCCTACTTGTTATGGATAGAAATACAAGGTCATTGTTTCACTTTGTCAGATCGATGCCAGTGTTGTAGCTGTAGGAACAGTTTGGCTAGGGGTGAGGTTAGTTCTGGTGCACAAAGCTTCAGCACAGCAGCAGGCATTTTGCCAGGATCCACAGCTGTATCCACTGTGATCTCCCTGCCTCCCTGCTTCTTGACATCATTAGAATGGAAAGGAATGCCTGAAGGCTGGCATCTGTGAAGGTGAGGGATTTGAATGATATAGGTCATCAATATTGAAACTTCATTGTCAGGCCATACAAGCAGAATCAGTGTAGTGCTCTTCTCTGGACTCGGAACAGATCCAGACTATTGCCATAGGGACATGAGTGAAAATCCTACCACAGTAGCTGACGGAATTGCAATTCCATTGAAAAAAAAATCTGAAATTAAAAGCTAGACTCCGCAACAGTAACTATGAAACTATCACTAAAAGAGTCTGGATCCCTAATGCCCTTTAGGAAAATAAATCTGCCATTATTGGTCTAGCTTACATGTGACTTCAGATGCACAGCAGTTTGGTTAATTATTAACTGCTCTTAAGGACAGTTAGGGGTACGTAATAAATGCTGACTTTGCCAGTGATGCCGATATCCCAGAAACGAATACAAAAGACCCAATGCAGTATACAGCACGTAACAGTTTCAAAGATCTCCTAAGCAGCATCTAAAATTGAATATCTGTCATTTCATTATTAATATTTGTGGGATATTGCTGTGTGCAGATTAGTTGCTGGATTTCTCTACCTTACAATTGCAACTACACTTCAAAAGTACTGTACTGTCTATGAGGTCAATGGAAATGGAAACCAGGGGAGATTAACTAGGAGCATCTGAATTAGTATCAACCATCTTACACAATCATCCAAGATTAAATTTACCCAGTGTGCTTAATGATAATTGACAAAAATGATACAAGCTAGTAAATGCAATAGCAGTTTGATGTGGAATCACAGAATGACATAGCACAGAAGGAGACCATTTGACCCATTGTGCTTGTTCCAGCTCTTTGAGAGAGCTATCCAATTTGTCCTAGTTTCTTGCCTTTTAGCCATAACCCTACAATTCCTTCCCCTTCAAGTGCTTATCCAATTTCCTTTCAAAAGTTGTTATTGAATCTGCTTCTAATTTTCCTCTGCTAGCATGCTCTATATCATTACAGCTCTGTGTATAAAAAAGGACTCATCTTCCCTTATTCTTTTGCCTCTTACTTTAATCTGAAACTTCCAATCAGCAAGCTTCCCACTAGAGGAAACAGGTTATTGTTTAATCCATCAAAATTATTCCTGCTTTTCAATACTGCTAATAATTGTCACCTTAACATCTGCTAAAAAATGAATTTCACAATTTACCCATCTCCACAGGATCTGTCAATTAAGTTAGATTATACCCAACTTTTCACTCCTTTCCACACGACAGTCAATTCTTTCAACTCATACGAAGATTGGTTAAACAGTTTTACTGCACATTAAAATACAATGGAACCTTATTTGTACGAACTTAGTATTTTTGACTTTTTTAAAATTTACTTACAGGATGTGAGCAGTGCTGGCTGAGCCCGCATTTATTGCCCATCCCGAGATATGTTTGAGAAGGTGGTGGTGAACTGCTTTCTTGAACTGCTGCAGTCCATTTGGTTTAGACAGACCCACAAAGGCATTAGGAAGGGAGTTCCAGGAATTAGGCCCAGCAAAATGTAAGGAACGGCATTATATTTCCAAATCAGGATGGTGAGTGGCTTAGAGGGGATCTTGCAGGTCGGGGTGTTCCCATGTTGTCCTTGTTGTTTTGGATGGCCGTGTTTGTGGGTTTGGAAGCTGCTGTCTAAGAAGCCTTGGTGAATTTCAGCAGTCCATCCGCTGATGGTACACACTGCTGCGATCGTGCATCAGAGGAAATGGGACTGATTTGTGGATGTGGTGCCAATCAAGCAGGCTGCTTTGATGATGTCAAGTGTTATTGGAGCTGTACTTATTCAGGCAAGTGGGAAGTATTTCATCACAATCCTGACTTGTGCTTTGTTGATGGTAGACAGGCTTTGTGGAGTCATGAGGTGAGTTACTCACTGAAAAATTCCAGGCCTCTGACCTGCTCTTGAAGCCATTGCATTGATATGGCTAGTCCAATTCAGTTTCTGGTCTATTCACAGAATTCTGATTGTTAGGTATTTGGTGATGTTGATACCATTGAATGTGAAGAAATCTAATGATTCTCTCTTGTTGGAGATGGTCATTGTCTTGCATTTGTGTGGTACGAATATGAATTGCCACTTGTCAGCCCAAACCTGAATATTGTCCAGCACTTGTTGCATTTAGACATGGACTGCTTCAGTATCTGAGGAGTCACGAGTGGCACTGAAAGTGTACAATTATTGGTGAATATCCCCACTTCTGACCTCATGGATGGAGGGAAGGTTATTGATGAAGCAGCTGAAGATGGTTGGGAAAAGATACTGCCCTGGGGAACTCCAGCAGGGATGGCCTGGAGCTGAAAAAACTGACCTCCAACAATCACTATCATCTTCCTTCCTTTTTCAGGCATGGCTCCAGAGATTTTTCCCCATATTCCCGATTGAGTCCAGTTTTGCTAGAACTCCTGGGTGCTACATTTAATCAAGTCTGCCCTTGATGTCAATGGCAGTCACTCTTACCTCACCTCTAGAATTCAACTCTATGTTGTCCATGTTTGAACCAAGGCTGTAATGATATCAGTAGCTGAGTGGCCCTGGTGGAATGCAAACTGAGTGTCAGGGAGCAGGTCATTACTAAGCAAGTCATTACTAAGCTTGATAGCACTGTTTAAGACATATTCAGTCACTTCCCTGATGATCAAGAGTAGACTGATTGGCAGTAATTGGCCAGACTGCATTTGTCCTGCTTTTTATGTTTAGGACATACCTGGGCAATTTTCACATTCTTGGGTGGGTGCCAATGTTATAGCCATGCTGGAACAGTTTGGCTAGGGGAGCGGCACGTTCTGGAGCACAATATTGTCGGGGCCCATAGCCTTTGCAGGATCAAGTGACTCCATCTGTTTCTTAATATCATGTGGACTGAACTAAATTGGCTGAACACTGGCATCTGTGATGCTGGGGACTGCATGCCTCAGAATATTAGGTGAGTCTCTGGATTACTAGTCTAGCACCAATACCACTGCACCATCATCTCCTCATATTTCAATTCCAATAAAAGCTCCACTGCAGGCAGAGGAACACAGAACATTGAAAACTAAACCTACTTTTTGGAGGGAAAGTACCCCAATGTTGCTAATTAGGCTGTAATATAAGATTTTATTTCATTGCTTCTGACAACCACACGGTGAATCTGACCTCAGCGAGAAAAGACAAAGTGGCACAGAAGTCACACATGGATTGTGTGTACAGTTTTGAAGCTGCAAAATGCAAAAGGTGGGGTTTCCACAACCCAGATGAAGACCCTGTCCAGAGTTTTGTGCTAGAACTCACAACTTTCTCACCCAGACGAAAGATCTATTAATAAGCCAAGATACTCCCTCAGAATAAAGTGGAAACCCCTTAACCTACTTCAAATCAAATTCTAAAATGGGTTTTAGAAGTTTATAAATTGTGCTTCCAGTTTCAATTGACAGGTGATAATAATTCAAATCTCACATACTCTGGCTTGCCCAAGGTAGTCCTCATCCAATAAATGCAGACATGTCTGTGGTACAATGCCACGTAGCAGTCGAGAAGCGTGGAAATACCTCTGAAAGCTCAAAAGTCTTTTCACCCTTTTCCTTGTGCCGATTTCACCTGAATGTGCAGTTGCTAAACAAAAAAAATAGAAATAATTGGACCAGGTTAAAACAAAGCACACAAAATAAATGCATCTTATGTCAAAATGTACTCTGTATATTTGGTAGATTATTAAAACTAAAGAGGTCATTGAATAGGTTATTCTCCCGCTGGCAAGCAACCATAAAACCACTCAATCAAAAACAGCACCATTCTAGTTCAATTATAGTAGATGTATCTACTATTACTGCCCATGGTGTTGCTTACAATAAGTTTCAGAATATAATGTGGGGCACTGCACCATACAATACATATTATAATGTATAATAGAGTATGCTTAACAAGTTCCATGCCTTTAGATGTACAGAGTACAATTATTGTGAATAGAAGCATTTTAGAGAGTTAATTAGGGCTAATTCCTGTTGTTCAATAAAGGTTGGGGGTGCTAGCTTGTCTTAGGTGGTCGTGCATAATAGACAGTAATGAATCAGTAGCGCTTTTGATACATAACCTAACTTTCTTATCATTGGTTGGACACCAGACTGGCAGTTGTTTGTATATCCTCATTGGCAGACAGGCCAAGTTACACTGAGAAGAAATAAGCAACAAATGATTCACTTTCCCTTTCGACAAAGATGCAACTAGTTCATTCAAAGGTTCTCTGCCTGTTCAGTCGTGATTTGTTCCGATGTCATTGATGATTTATCAGCACGCTGATTGACTCAATCAAGTACAAATGGGGCACATTCAAATGCAACATTGAGGTGCAGCAGATGTAAGTCTCACACACAGACTTCGAGACAATAAGGACTGCAGATGCTGGAAGTCAGAGTCTATAGGTGTAAGGCTGGAAAAGCACAAAGGTCAGACAGCACCCGAGAAGCAGGTAAGTCAATGTTTTGGGCCGAAACTCTTCATCAGGTCTGGGCAGGGGGAGTGGGGCCCAGAAATAAATAGAAGGATGGGGGAATGAGGCTGGGGTAAAAGGGTAGGAGAGACGGTGATAGGTGGATGCAGGTAGGGGGTTATTGTGATTGGTCCATGGTAAGGTGGAGCGGAGAGGTGAGTAGGACAATGGACAGGTTAGGTCACATTAGGAGGGGGAAGGCTGGACATGGAGGGATCTTGAAGCTGGTGAAATCAATGTTAAGGCATTGGGCTGTAAGCTTCCAAGGCAAAATATCAGGTGTTGTTACATTTGGCCTGACTCTGACAGTGGAGGAGGCCAAGGATGGACATGTCGTCAGGGGAGTGGGAGGGGGAATCAAAATGGATGACAACCAGAAGGTCCAGTTGATTGTTGCATGCAGAGTGCAGATGCCCTGCGAACCAGTCCCCGAGTCTGCATTTGGTCTCCTCGATACAGAGGAGACAACATCGAGAGCAACGGATGCAATAGATAAGGTTGGATGAAGTGCAGGTGAATCTCTGCCAGATCTGGAAGGATTGGTGGGGCCTTGGACAGAGGTGAGAGGGGAGGGAAATATCTTTTTGGTTGTGGAGTCTGATTGTAGGTGGTGGAAATGTCAGAGGATGACGCGTTGGATCTGGAGGTTGGTGGGGTGGTATGTGAGGACTAAGGGGACTCTATCCTTATTGCTGTTGGGGGGAGAGGGTTTGAGGGAAGAAGTGTGGGAAATGGAGGTGATATGGTTGAGGGCATCCTTAATTACAGAGGATGGGAAACTATGGTTCCTAAAATAGGAGAATATCTGGGATGTCCTGGAGTGGAACGCCTCATCCTGGGAGCAGATGTGGCAGAGGTGGAGGAATTGAGAGTATGGGATAACATTTTTGCAGGAGGGTGAGTGAGAGGAGGTAAGTTGAGGTAGTTGTGGGAGTCAGTGGGTTGGAAATAAATGCCTGTAGTGAGTTGGTTTCCAGAGATGGAGACGGAGAGGTCCAGGATGGGGAGGGAGGTGTCAGAAATAGGCCAGGTGAGTTTGAGGGTGGGGTGGAAGGTGTTGGTAAAGTTGATGAACTGCTCGAGCTCTTCGTGGGAGCACGTGGCTGCACCAATAGTCATCAATATAGCGGAGGAAGAGGTGAGGGATGGTGCCAGTGTAGTTGTGAAAGAGGGCCTGTTTCTCAAATCTTACAAAGTGGCAGGCATAGCTCGGGCCCACGCTGTTGCTCATGGCCACCCCTTTGGTTTGTAAGGAATGGGAGGAATCGAAGCAGAAATTGTTGAGAGTGAGGACCAGTTTAGCCAAGTTAATAAGAGTGTCAGTAGAGGGGGACTGGTTGGGCCTACGGGAAAGAAAGAAACAGAGGGCTTTCAAGCCCTCCGAGTAGGAGATCCAGGTGCTTCTTCCTCTCAGTCGATAACAACATGCTACTTTTTAACAAGTAAATGGAATGAAATGAAGGTAACAAAGGTAACAACATTGGGCAGAATTTGATAAGGGACTAAATGACATGGGCTCCAGTTAGAAATGTGGCAGAATCATTTGAGAAGCCCAGTGAGGCCTATCTTGACATTGGGAACAACTTGCTGCATCTTTTAACTAAGTTCTGGTTGTTGGGATGAGATCCTCACTAGAAAGCACTTAGCAGTGCCTACTAAGACTTGGGTGGCAACCATGGACCAGGCTTGCATGGTCTGGTGTCTAGGCCTCCATCGCCAGTCCCGGGGGAAGTGGATATTCTATCTCAGCACCAACCAACCAGTAGGAGCACTGGGTCCCCATCTGCAAAGTGGGGCACCGAATTTCCTTTGTTTGCCATGTTCAGGGCAAATGTCAGAAACTGCACTGTACAGGGTAGCTCCAGACTAACAGTGCTCTGTCGGGAGCACCACAGACTTTTAAAGACGGCACCAGCACCAGGGATACTGGTCAATTTTGGGCAGTGGTGTGTTATTTTGAGAGCAGTGAGTGGGTAGAATTGGGCTAGAATTGGATGAGAGGGGTGCTATGGGGTGGGATAGGTTGCTAATGAGGTACGTTTGGTAAGATGCAGTGAGAAATTAGGTCTGACAGACAGAAACCCTCCATAACACTTGACACAACTGACACTTAGCAAAAATAAGTAAGATTCAGCCCATTAGTTCTGAAAGTGAACAGATCAAAGTCAGATCAACCCTAATGGAATCCCTGACAGCACATCCCATCACAAACACACATTGTTTTTGAGATGTAGTGGAAGACCGACGTAGCTCATAGACACCTTATAAATGGGAATATTTGGAGACATCTTTCAAACCATTAAAAAAATGTACTGCACTTGGGACCAAAACTTCATGTTTAGTGCAGTTATACTTAGATCCTCCTTTAATAGTCTGTTAGATTATATTTTGAAGGGAACTTATCCATTTTAAGAAAACACCTGTTTCCTCTCAACTGTTCTCCCACCTCCAAATTTGATGGCTTTGTCCCAAATAATACTTGTTCCCTCCCTGGCTGTTCTCTGTGGTATAGTCCTCATGTCTGTTCTCCTCAGTCCAAAGCATACAGACCTATTGGCTTAGTCAGTTATAGAAACACATCTGTTGGATCGCAGAAACGCCATCACATCCTGCTGTTGCGTGTAATAGCCATTCAGTCTTTCAGATCCTATGGTGGGATCTGAACTCATGTTTCTAGATCATTAGTTTAAGTCTCTGGTTTACTGGCCAATAATGCAACCACTAAACTATGTGCAGCTCCAGAAGCAATGTAACTGCCTGTCTCTACTGATCTTTAATATTGGTACACTGGAGGAGGCTTAAAATGACTCATTTTTCTTCTCTCTCCAATTTTCTCTTCTTTTCCCAAACCCTAAAGCCTCTTTGGAGTTTAGGAGAATAAGTGGTGATCTTATTTGAATTTTTAATATTCTGAGATGAATTAAGCGGGTAGAAACTGAGAGACTGTTTCCCTCATGAGGGAATCTAGAATGAAGGGCACAGTTTAAAGCAAAGTGCACTGCTTTGCAGATGGAAATGGGGAAAAATTTCATCTCTCAGAGCATAGTTAGCGTTTGACATTCTGTTGCTCAGAGAGCAGCGGAGGCTGGATTCTTGAATAAATTCAAGGCTGAATTAACAGATTTCTGACAGACAAGGGGTCAAGGGTAATGGCAGACAAGAAATGGAGCAAAGGCCATGATCAGATCAGCCCTGATCTTACTGAATGGCACAGCAAGCCCATGGAGCTGAGTGGCATACTCCTGCTACTTTTTATGATTTTATGATCTTGGAAGCTTCCTCTTTCTACTGCATACCATCTTCTGAAGCCCCTCTCCTTTGACTGTTGCACCCTTATTTCCAGTATCAAGTATGGGGAGCTCATGAAAAGAATCTGAGAGCAATAGAGGTTTTATGGCCGGGGAAAAAACCCTTTGGTCCACTGTGTCTGTGGTGGTCATCAATTCTAATCCGATTTTCCAGCTCTTGACCCATAGCCCTTTGTGTCATGGCATTTCAGTACTTCTTAAATATCTTGAGGGCTCATGCCTCTGCCACCCTCTTAGGCAGTGGGTTCCAGATACCCATAAATCACCGAGTGAAAATAATATTCCTCAAATCCCCTCTAAACCTCCTGCTCCTTAACTTAAAACTGTGCCCCCTGATTATTGACCCCTCTATTAAGGCAGAAGTTTCTCCCTATCTACCCTCTCTGCTCCCTCGAACTTTGTACACCCTAATCAGATCTTTTATAGCCTTCTCTGCTCTACAGAAAACAACCCTAGCCTATCTAGTCTTTCTTTATAAGTGATTCACTCCAGTCCAAACAACATCCTGGTGAATCTCCTCTGCACCCTCTCTGGTCAGTCATATCCTGCCCACAGTATTTCAGCTTTGGCCAAACAAATGGTATATGTAGCTCCATCATTACCTCCTTGCTCTTGTATTCAATGCCTTGCCTAATGAAGGCAAGGTTCTCATGTGCCTTGTTAATCACTTTATCTGCCTGTCTTCCTTCTTTTCCCTTATCTAATCCTGTATTTACTGAAAATGTTGATTAAAATTGAAAGCATGCACAACCACAAGCCTACTGTTTAACCTTTCAAACTGTCCCTATAGTACAGAGAAATGTAGTGGTTCAAGAAGTGCACTCACCACAGCCTTTTCGAGATCAGTTAGGGATGGACAATAAATCCTGGTCCTGCCAGTGACGCCCACATCCCATGAATGAATAAAAACAAATTTTAATTGATTGCATTGTGAGGGAGCCTCAAACACCACACCATGTGGAGAAGAAGCATTGTATCATTTTAATATTCCACGGTTAACTGTACATGTGGTATGCTCCAGAAGTTACTGTCAAATTTGCAGGAGTAATGACAATGAAGACTGATAGTATTGCTGTCATTACCACCATAAGGTTTAGACTCACATGAGTGTGCAATTTCTTTCTTTTTTTCTCACGTATGTCATTATAGTCAGTTACTGGGATCCAGCTGAATTCAAGAATATATAAAATAAACAAAGTCACCATTTTGAACGTACTTACTTTAAAAGTTTACTCTTGTTTTAAACAATCTATTGTGAAATAATCTTCCTGACATTTCTTTTTAATGAATGGATAAATGGCAAACTTTTCAGATTTTAACGAAATGTCTTCCATACAGTACAGTGAAATTTTTGAATATATATTATTATTTTAAGATTTCACAATCTGAGATGGGCAAAAGGAATTCTCTCTCTTGTGGCTTTTTGATAGACAACTAACATTTTATGGAGGAATGAAACTTAACTATTAAATATAACAACAGTACATGCAAAGAGAAAAAATGGCAAATTACAGACTAAAGAACTTCTTGTTATTAAAATATTGCTGAGAGCTGTTTAATTAGGATATTGCAAACTTGCACTTAAGCAACCTAAAATAAAGTCTTTCGTATGTCAAAAGTGCTCCAGCAATTTAATATAGTCAATGTGTGTGTTTCAGTCTCTTTGAAGGTTTCCTATTTGAAGCTTATACTACATAAAGCCGGAAGCAGGTGCTGCAATGCTGTGTGCATATGAATGCTACAAAGTCAGCATAGGAAATGGACTTTAATCATTTGAGTGTTTTAATTTTGTACTTTTGCCAATTGCAGAGATTATTTAACATGAAAGTTTTCCAAGAGATTTGCTAGGATCCAGCATTATGCTTCAAAGCATGCAAGCCAAGATTTGCATATGATTGAAAAGCATTAGAGTACACTAGCTGTCACAAGCAACTGATTACTATTATTGAGTTTATTGGTAGGATGTCACTGCCAGGGCTTACATTAGTACATATGTCACTTTGCTGTAAAGTAGACCAATAATATTCTTAAAGTTTCTGCTAATTATACACAATGTCAGAGTGTGTTTCTTTTTAAAATGGGATGTGTTCAATACACTATTGATTTAATCAAGTATTGTGCAACAGCATTGAAATAGCTCAAGTAACTATTATTAGCTGTGAAGTGTAGGGTAACATTAACATGGATCAGGGACTGATCTTTAGTAACTGAAGCTTGTCAGAAGTTCCCCGTTAGTTTTCCACAAACGGACTTAACGATAGACATTAGCCTGCTCTTGCTTATACAAGTTTGTATGAATTAACTTGCTCCTTCCTCCCCCTCTCTCCCCAAAGCTAAATAAAAAGTGACTGGATTCTCTGTGAGCATTGCTTTCATAAGTTTACTGGACGAGCAACAAGATGTTCAAGCCACATTTTAGTTAGTAATGGTGCCCCGTATGACGAACTGCAGTCAATCATTCAACTAACATACTTCTCTTCAACAGAAAATCCCCAGCTGCTGAGGTAATAAAAGTTAACCTATGAGTAATTTGGAAGATGTGAGGCATATCATAACTACAGTATTGGTTCACAGGCCAGAGGCTTTTCTTCAGAACAGTTGCCATTTACATTTCATATATGGGGATCGGCCACTTATTTAAGTTTATATTTTAAGTGTCATGACAGAATTGAATGCATGCAATCAATTAGTGCAGTCAATTTCGGATGCTGCTTCAGTTTGGTTTCAAAAGGGAAATCTATGTCGGATGGCCAGGCAGTAAACTTCTCTACTTAAATTTCACTGCAAATTCATAAGACGGCATCCACTTCCAGGAATTCAGTAAAAGCAGCAGTCTCTGCGCTGTGAATAAAAGCTCTAGCTTCTGTAAGGTTTTTGTCGCAAGTATTTTGTTGGTACTTACTATTCAGAAGGCGAAAATCAATGACTGGGTATGACCCTCGGCGCTCAGAAAGAAGCCCTGCTTGCCCTCTCACTCGTGCATTTCCTGGGAAAACAGATTCAAAAGAAATATTAGAAGTAGCACTTTTACTGTTCAGTGTTAGAATTCTATGGTGCTATCACAGTCCCTTTTAATTTAGTATCACATCTTTAAAATCTTCATCAGTTGTCGACATAATTGGGTAAATATTATATGTTTTGATGGGAATGAAAATGTTGAGCATGTTATCTACAAAACAAAAGTAGGCTTGAGAGCAATTCATTAAATAAAATGCATTATCAATACTGTCAGCCATCATTTAAGATTTTCTTAAAGATCCAGGCTTCAGTTTTCTTTGGACTAACAAATCAATAGGAACACAATGGGTGGATATTTCTGCCCACTGCATGGATTTGTTTTCAAGGTTCAGCAAATATGTGCGCACAGGTGTAGACACCCAACAGAAGATCCATTGTGACTGGTTGCTGATGCTAAGGAAGTGACATCACAGTGGTGAAGAAGGATTCAATAGCCCAGGTGGCTGGAAATGTTGGGCTGGGGTCCATTTGAGGGTGTCGGGTCCAGTCGATAGGAGGGGTTGTCGGGTCTGGGAGGAGTGGGGAGGAGCTTTCAGGCCAATGGGGTTGGAGTGTGGGTGTGGGGGATTGCTGGTTTCAAATGGTGGGGAAGACAATATGAGGTCAGGACAGGGTCTGGACGAGTGGGAAGGGTTGTCATAGTTCTGGGAATGTAGGAGCTGAGGGAGATTGAAGGGGGTGAGTCAGCTTAATTATTACTCAGGAGTTATAGTAGGTTTTCAGTCTCCTAAATTTACCTGAGTAACTATTGAGCTTTACTGATTTAGAACCCTCTGAAGTTTCCAACATTATTGGAGGGCTCCAAATGCAGAGGAATTTTCCATGGGAAATTTTAATTACCCAGGTCATTTCCATGGAGTCAGTTGTGTTGGGGATGGTCCTGATGTTCAACTCCATTCTGCACTGTTTCATCAACTCTGGCCATTAGAATACCTGGCCAACTAATCCAGCTGCTTTTTCACCCCAGAGATTTGCTTGATGCCTAACCTTGTGAGCATTTCCAATATTTTCAAGATTTAGTCCGATTTATCTTACTGGATCTATGACCAACAGTGGAATTCACTTGAAAGTCAGAAACTGCAGTAGGAAGAGCCTTGTTTTCAAGGGAGCCTCTTGATTTTCAATAAGGAAACACTGCCCCAGATTCCACCTGACTTTTCCAGCAGTGACTGCCGTTCTGTCTTCCCTTTCCTGGGTCTTTGCTGATTCGTCTTTTCTCTTTCATATCTGTTTGTGTCTGGTATTTACCAACCTGCTGCAGCTGAATCCCTCTGGCAAAGTCAAGTTTCTGATATATACCACCAACATTTGAGAGATACATGAGGTAGCATATTGTAAAGTAGCCTCAAGATCTGTCGAGGTACCAGAAATGGGACTTTGACATATTGAAGGTGTACTGAACAATAGCTCAGATTGTTAAATGCACCCAATTAAATAGTTCGTCTTGCCTAGGCTTCCAGCAAATATGTTATTAGCTATACCTAGAAAGTATCTATCATCTCCAAGTAAATCATTCAGTAAGTCCATCCTGGAACAATGACAAGCAAGCTTGACTGCCTCAGCACGTATCTGATCCAGTTGCTTCTCATGTATCTAACCATGTGGTGAAATATAACTCCACTGCTGCAAATAGCATTTAGCACCCCACAAAAGCCCAGTTTTGAGCTGCTGGAGCAGTACATAATCTACTCTACTTAACACAGAGGAAGCACAATATGAACTGATGTATATCTTCATTATAATCGACACAAAGACTGTGCAGTAGTCACGCTACCAATGTTGACATGTGCATCCACAACAGGTAGATTGACTAGAACAAGGTCAAGTCTGTTCTTCCCTTTTGTCCTTTCACCACCATCCAGTGTAGTTGGGTGGCCTTACCAATCCACTCTTGGTGATGGATTCAACTCTCAAATTGTATTCTAATATTTTGAAGATATCATCTAAGTGAATTGTATGTATTGTGAAGGTGTGGATGGCTAGATTACCTAATACTCCGATGAAAACTAGGAAACATGTGTACAGAACCTAGAGGTCAATAATGGACAGTAAAGTCACACCCATTTTACAGGAAATAGACTGGATTCCTCAAAAACACTGAGGTGTCGACTGGATCACAATTGTAAATCACATAGTTATGGCATAAATGGTCTTAAGAAGTTTTTCACTAGTATACTGGCTTAGCTATTCTTCTGCACTGACACATTCATAGCTAAAGGTACTGAGGTACACTTATTCACCATCTAACACTTTAAAAAGTTCGAGACAACAAGGTGCAGGGCTGGATGAACACAGCAGGCCAAGCAGCATCATAGGAGCAGAGAGGCTGACGTTTCGGGCCTACAGCCAACCTGTGAAACCAATCTGAAGCCCATCTAACCTACACTATTCCATTATCATCCATATGTTTATCCAATGACCATTTAAATGCCCTTAAAGTTGGCGAGTCTACTACTGTTGCAGGCAGGGCATTCCACGCCCTTACTACTCTCTGGGTAAAGAACCTTTTTTTCTGATGAAGGGTCTAGGCCCGAAACGTCAGCCTCTCTGCTCCTATGATGCTGCTTGGCCTGCTGTGTTCATCCAGCCCTGCACCTTGTTGTCTCGGATTCTCCAGCATCTGCAGTTCCTACTATCTCTGATTCAACTTTAGAAAGTTCTCCTGGTTTGTTAAGGATTCAGCCAAATGGCAATTTGCCATAAACGAATTGTGTCGGTGAAAATGGACTTGTAGTGTCAGAGGAAAGTTAAAAAAATGACAAAAGAAAAGTAGGTACACAGTCAGTCAGTGAAACCTCAACGGGTCAGAGATGAACTAGTCTCTGATTTTCAGTGCAGCAGGGACGATCGTATATTGGCATCAATGAAAAGACAGAATAAATTATTGACTGGGGTTAGCTTAAGTATTGAATGAAAGAAACGACTTTCAACTGACATGAAGATTACTGCTTCTCAAAATAATATTAGTAGAACATAGAACATAGAATATTACAGCACAGTACAGGCCCTTCGGCCCTCGATGTTGCGCCAACCTGTGAAACCAATCTGAAGCCCATCTAACCTACACTATTCCATTATCATCCATATGTTTATCCAATGACCATTTAAATGCCCTTAAAGTTGGCGAGTCTACTACTGTTGCAGGCAGGGCATTCCACGCCCTTACTACTCTCTGAGTAAAGAACCTACCTCTGACATCTGTCCTATATCTATCACCCCTCAATTTAAAGCTATGTTTAAACTATTTTACAGTTTTAGATACTGTGTAATTAAGTCCTGATTTCAAAAGCTTTGCAAGTTTACAAAATGTTGTTATTTAGCTCATTTAAATAGTAAGAAAAGAATTTCATTGGATTAATTTTGTTTTGACGTTGTTGTATTGTACAAGTTAATGTATGGATCATATAGTGCAATACATTGCCTGCATGAAACAACCTTGTAACATGTGCATGCAAGTGTAAAAAACACAAGGGGATATAAATTGGTACATATTGTACCTGCTTTTCGAGTGTAAATTTGCACAGGTCATCCACTATTAAATTCCGTGAGTTTATTTTCTCAATATTCTGGGCAGCTGTATTACAAAGGCGCTAAAACCCTCATTAGCATGCAGGAGGCTTATAGTAGCCTGGTGAAGGGCCCTTTTGTCAATCTGTGGTGGAGTACTGGATCCAGGCCAGCTGCACTCACATTTTCCAGGTGTCCATTTCTCTAAAACACTAAATTTTAATTTGGAGCTGAGGGACAGCTGTACAACTGAAGTTAATGGTGTTCCACTTGCTTTTGCCAACGTTGTAATGTAGGGGACACAGCAGTCAAACACAGCAAAATTCTGCATTGAGCAATGGAAATATTCATATTGACCCTTTTAGGTGTTGGCTGATGGATTGGATAAATGTCAGTGAGAACATCCTTATTCATGTTTGAAATTTGCCATGCATTGTTTAAATGCTACCAGAGAGTTCCTTAATATAACATCTCATCTGAAAACCAAGTTCCCTGACAGTGCCCTCAAAATATCAGCCAAGATTCTATGTTCAAGTCTGAAGAGTGGTCTTGAATGCACAACCTGCTGATTCAGAGCTGAGAGCTACACCACTGAGCCAAGGGTGACACCTATTCCACTGTAAGCTCTTAGACAACATGTCTATTCACTCTAGACAAAAAAAAGCTGCACAATAACATTCCTGTAAACAAGCATTGCTGCTTCTGCCACAGCCCAGGTCTGCAGACATCAACAGAGCCTCCCAAAAGGAACATTTCCTGAGCGGATGTTTGGCTACTTGGCATATCCCAGTGGTGTCTGTATATAAACATAGTTCCTGTTTGATGACAAAGTTCACCCTGAATCACATCTAACTGTCATTAAGGGTGGAGTACAAATGGTAGACAACTCTGAGATACTGAAACATCACACAAGATAGACCCCAGTGAAATGGAAATTAATGTCAAGGTCAGTATGTGTGTCTATAACATAGGAATGCTTTCTTTAAACAGAAGCTGTACTTAGAAAGAAGAAAGAGTCAAAACATTTTTTTGCAAACTCGGCTGTTAATTTATTTTCGACACACATTTTACGTTATAAAACAAGTTTACATCTGCTTGTAGATAAATGGTTATAACAGGGACAAAGTGTTTGTACAGTTTTTTTTAAGTTACAGAATTCTAAAATTATAAGCTAGTGAGGTCATACAGTAAATCAAGGTCCACAGTCACAACCAAAATGCTCATTTATGCAATCATTTCCTTATCCACAATGATACTAAACCCCCAGCCTGCAAAGTATCAATACTGAATATTTCAGCTTCTGCCAAAATGTTGTTATTGACACTCTGTCGTAACAGATTTTGCTGACCAACATAAAAAAAATCATTACCTAAAGCTATTTGCTGTCTGCTGTATATTTTAAGTGAACACGATGCAGTCAGTGGAGAACAGAAGAGAAATCTATGGTTCTCCTATGAAGAC